CAGAATTTATATAAAAGAATTTCCGCTGAGCAAATTTAAATACTTTATATTTAAGTTACAATCTAAAGATTTGAAATATTTGTCATAGACTCAAGAGCATTAAAAATTCGTATTACTTTAGTTGCTCAACACTCTTTCTTGTTGTTTTGCTTGGCAATGCGGCGCCTTAATTAAAAAGCTGCACGCCGTTTTGCAGCACTCAGTGCAGTGCAGCTGGATCAGTTGGTCATGGAAGGGGTTACGGGTCGAAAAATGGGGGCTTTGCTGGTGCGAATACCGGCAGTAGTTGTATTTATGACTTGGCACGCAGCGCGCAGGCATGATTTACAGTTTATTGAGAGAAACAAAGCGAGCGCCAAGAATTAGCCGCAATGGCTCATCAATCATTTGCTGCAGCGGGGAAAGGGTGGCGGGGAGCGGGGTGAGAACAGGACGAGGCCGTCGTCGTCGTGGCCCACCTTTTTAGCTGTAATCCTTTTTGGGGCAACGGCACTTGGGCACTTATGACTCGACTGGCTTTATGGCCATATTATGCTTAATAAAGCTGCCTTTTTCGTTGTTGTTGCCTTTTTTCGCTCTGTTCGTTTTTTTTTCCTTTTTTTTATCTATGCATCGGTTCAGAGTTTTATCTGCGAGTCGCGTCATAATGGAGCACAGCCATTGAGCAGGCGCCCTGCTCGGCTCGGCTCTGCTCCTGGAGCCGACCGCGTGATTTATGTGATTACTTCAATGCGGCGGCGTTGCGCCAAAAAAATAGCAAAAAAAAAAAAGAAACAAACAAACGTCCAAAGAAAAACAGAGCAAGAAACATAAAAGTATCACGCATAGAGAGAGGCCCATAGAAAAGCCATTGAGCCATCGTCCAAAATTTAAGTACATAATAATAAACTGGGCGGCGGCGGCCATAAAATGGACATTGACTGCAAACATTTTGCGGTCGAAAATTGTCGTCTGTCAGCAGTTGAGAAATAAATATGCATTTATGCATAAGTATTTTTGTTGCCTCAATTTGCAATTAACACTTGTGCCAGGCGACATATTTGCACTCTCTCTAAAAGCCATCTCTCTCTCTCTTTCTTTCTTTCTCTATTATATCATTCCTTATATTTTGCAATAGGTTTGTTTGTATTATTTATGTATACAGTAAGGGGCTCTAAATTCAGAATTATTTCTCCAAATCGTTCTCTGTCTTATTTCTATCTCTCTGTCTCTATCTAACTCCCCTCAATCATTCGCTGCTTCTCTCTTTCTAGGACCATAGAAATTTCTTAAAATTAAAAATTGTCTCTCTCTCTCTTTCCCTCTCTCTCTCTCTCATTTTGTCTGACCCTTTCTCTCCCTCGATCAAACTCTTTTTCAATCTTTGAAAATCTTTTATCTCCTCAAAGTTTCTCTTTCTCTCTCAACGTTTTTCTACCACGCTATCAATGGTTTCTTCCACAAAACTTATCCCCTTTCTTCTAACATCTCTCTCTCTCATTTTCCATTCTTCATCCTTAATTCTACTCGATCAATCTCTTTTTCAATCTCTGCCAATATTTCCTCTCTTCTTATCGTATCTCTTTTACTCTCAACGTTTCTCTCTCCCCCAGCTCTTCTCTACCTGTTTTCTTCTATTCAACTAATCCTTTTTCTCCTAACGCCTCTCTTGCTGTCTCTCTCTATCTTTCTGTCATTCTCCCATTCAATATTTGAAATCCTCAACCCACTCGATTTATCTCTTTCTTAATCTTTCTCTTCCTCTTATCGTTTCCACTCCCCTCTCTCTCTTTTCCTCAAAGTTTCCCGCACTCCATCCCTCAACAAATACCTTTTCTCCAACCGTTTTCACTGTGTCTCTTTCTCCACGTTTCTAGATGGAGTAAAACTCGATCTCAAAATTTTTCTCGCTCTCTCCATATCTTTTTCGTAACACATATGTATGTATTTATTATGCGTGGAACACCCAAAGACGAGGCGCAAGTTCCAGCCATGAACCGAACCACTCAAAGAATGATTTGGATTTGCAGACATGATTAATATTAGTTCATGATCGATCAGAAAAGGGATTTTTATATTGGAAAAATATTATAACCAAATATTTCCTTTGGTTTTCCAGCGCCCAACCTAACTGTTATTTAATCAATGCTTAGGCTGGGCTCATCCAATTTACAGTTGACAGATTTGCCGTGCACATTGAGTCGCCGCTAGGTGGCGCTTTGGCTGGCATAAACATTTATTCGCTTTGCATTATATCGAGCGTATTAAATGCCAGTTTGTTGAATGTAATTTAATATTTATAATATGCACACAATATGCTGCCATTATGTTTGCATGATCTGTCAATCTAGCCAATTGCCAAGGCACGCCCAACGCCAACTCCAAAAAAAACAAAGAATAGAAGGCAGTTGGAAAAATTGAGAAAAACAAGAAAAGCGACCAAAGCGCAAAGTGCTGCTATCTATTTATATCGCTTTTGGCTTTTGCCAGGCGGGCGCTAAAAAGAAACGCTGAAAACTACTAACGAACGACACCTGGAGGCGCCTCCAGCTGCGGGACCCGCACCTGGCTTGTGGCACTAGCGTGTGCCGCCTTTTTCGCTTCTTGTTGTTTGCATTTGTTGTCCATTTCTTTATTTTTGTTTTGTTTTTAGTTTTTTTTTTGTTTTTTTGTTTCAGTGTTGCGATACATTCACCGAAATTGTTGCTGCTGCTGCTGTTGCACGAATGTTGTAAATCAAAAAGTAGGCGAGTCACACGAAGGCTCCTGCTCCTGCTGCTGCTCCTGCTGCTGCTGCTCGCTCAGGTTAAGGCACAGGATTCCAGCTGCAGCTGCGGCGGCACAGGCTCAGGCTCGCAGCGCCTATTTGACTGGCAGGCCGAGCGGATAACGCTGGCAATTATCGCGCTTGTGCTGCACGAACAGCGGAAGCGGCAGAGGCGCCATCATGTTACTTCCACCCGCCCCTCCCCTCCCCTCTCCCCTCCAACTCGCACCCCGCCAGCCAAGCAGCACCCCCAAAAAAAATGAAACCAAGCCAGCGAGCCTAGTGCTGCCTTTTGTTTGCTGGCATCTTTTTGTGCGCTGCAATTGTTAACAACAACAAAATAGAAGGCAGCAGCAAGAGTTGTCCACCTAATGCCGAAGTTGAAATACCCTTGCAGAGCTAAGATAGAATTATGAAGTTAAAATTAAGTAGTTCGATCTCAATCATGACTGCCAATCCAAAGTGTATTATTGTGCGCTCGATTAAGTTATCTTTGATTATTTTAAACAATTCTTTGTTATACAATTCTGTTGAGATTTGTGCTTATAAATAAATTGGATTTGTTTGTTAAAATATCAACCGGTTCTTGCCAACTCTCTCTTTCTCTCCTCTCTATGTCAGCTTTATGATAAGATAGTTAAAATAAGCAAAATATTACTGAAGTGCTTGAATTGTTATATTACACTCTAGACAATAGACCAGACCTCGACTTACCCATCAACTATAAATTAGAAAGCTCGGCAAGCAAACAACATTGTACTCTATTTTATGAATTTTGATAAGATTTCCTGGAACATTTTCATTTTTAAACAATTGTTCCAATTGGCAGCTATAATATATAGCTGCACGAATGTGATTAGACTTTCTAGAGATTTTCTTTCAATGCGTTACATCCTATGTCCCACATTTATCATACCCGCTGTATTACTATTGTTTGTTGCCGTAGTTTGTCCCAAAATATGGCCCAAACACCAGCCCCCGCCCGTCCCCACAGCCCCTGTCCCAGGCCACGCTGTAGCTAGGCAGTCAGTCAGTCATTGAAGTCATTTATTGCCACCAATGTTGCACGTTGTTTTTGCCGAACAACTGTACTAAGTTTTGTGCGCTGCTGGCCGCTTTTTTGCTGCAAGTGTGTGTGTGTGTGTGTGTGTTGATAGCGCCTGGCCGAGAGTCCTGACCGTTTCGTGTGCAGGATGTGTTTGCAATTTGTGGACACGCCGACCGTCATTTGATTGCTATTGTTGTTGTTGTTGTTGATGTTGTTGTTGTTGTTGCCGTTGTCGCCGCTGCCATTGTCGATTTTCTCTGCATTTTATATATTATATTGTTGTAAAGTTTTTATGTTGATTTCAGTCTCTTTTTTAATTATATGCGAATGGCATATGAAAAAGCTTTGAATAAACAACCGCTTTTTGCAACGAAATGAAGTGGTTGCCAATGTGTTTGCCCCCCAATTTAAGAGCGCCCCGACCTGAGCTGCAAGATTGTTAGCCCCCAAATCCAAAGTTTTTTACCCATATTCTATTAGACAGCGGCCGACCGCCCCGTTGATAAGCCAACTGTTTGTTTTCTTAGCACCACGCGATAGTTAACGTGCTGGTATCTCGTGCTGATTTTTTGTTTACTTCTTATTTTTTTTTTTTTTTTTTTTGTAATATCATGACATCCATAAAATGTTCCAAGGCAAACATGCCACCACATACCAACACACACATAGACACATATGTGGGCCATTTTCCCGCTGACATTTGAGGCGCGAGGTCTCATGAGACAATCAAAATTAAACGATTTTCGGCGTTGACATGCAAGACGCCAAAACAGCAAAACCATGCCAATGTGTTCCGAAAAACTTCCAAAAATCGCAAATTATGCCATCATTTTCTTTAGCAAAGATTTGAACCCGCCGTTTAGCCGTTACATCAACATAGGCTTGCCAGATGCGACAAACATATTTATTGCTGGCTAAATATTACTGGCTGGCAGCGCCGCATAGCTATTATTTTATTGGCAGCCCGTTAAATAGCAACGTGGCAGCCCTGTTAAATGAGCCCTGTTTTATGAGATGCTTTTTTTATAAATAAAACGCGTTATACAATAGCACTGCTACAACTATATGCAGTACTTTATAATTAAATACACAAAAATGGTTTTTCTTACTTTCAGTTTTCTGCGCCTGGGTTATGACTTGCATCGCTCTGTCTTTGCTTTACTTAACACAATTCAGACAAATTTCAGTCGATTGTCAACTAAACAAATATACAGTAAATATGAAGCCCGGACACATTGTACTTTTGGTATTTTTAAATTTAATAAACTTTGTCTTTAACTTTATTCGACTTTACCGCCACAAGATGGAAACTAATAATGTCAACAAAAATAACGGCCTGGGAGGCTAAGCAGATACTCCAGCCGTCAAATAAAATAAAATTTTTTGTAGCCCTGGCGAATGGAACAGCTGTTCAAAACTGGTGGCACACGCTATTTTGTTTTGAAAACATAAAAATGGAGTGCGTAAGTTGTGCAAGTATCACAGATAAATACAAATGCAGCAAGTGCTTAGCACCGTAGTAAGTATTTTGAAAAAGATAATGCGCTTGTTATTAATAATTGCCGTTGCAGCTGCTCTGTAAATTGCTACAAGGAACACAAAACGCAGCCACAGTGTATGGAAATTGCAACAGTGAAGCAAGCAACGCAGCCTGCCAAAAATGTGACCGAAGAGGAGCCCACAATATATGCACCTTTTAGCACGGAGGATACTGTGCCGCTTGACCGGCTGGAGCAATTGAGTAAAGTTCTTGGTTTCATTTACGTATTTCATTATTGTAATGGATGTGCTTGCAGAGAACTTTGAACCATTGCGGCAACTGCTCCATAATCCACATCTGCGTGCGCTACTTCAGCAAATCGATGTAGCGTATAATGCAAACCTGGCTATGACCGCTGCCATGCAGGAGCCGCTTTTCGTGGAATTCGCCAATGCTTGTTTGCAGGTGGTGGAGCCCATGACGGAGGCGGAGCGTGCAGAGCTGGAGCTGTGCAGTTGAAAATTAGTGCATATTGTGGCTTGTTACAGGAGTCTGTTGTGCCCACGTCTCATGCATGTATTTAAAATTAAGCCTCAATATATGTAGTTAAATTTCAGAAAACGTATATGTTGACACTTTAATTTATGCACGCGCATCGTGTATTATTAAACACATTTATTATATAGTAAAGACTAAGCAAATAGACAAATATATATATTTTTTATAATCTATTGTTTGGCATTTTCGGCCGCACGCCTGACTTTGGCCCAGTTGTCATCGTCGTCAAATAGATCATCGAAATCATTATAAAAATCAGCATGTACATGTTTATCATTTGTGGGTGCGGGCAAATGATCCATCATCATGCCTGTAGCGCTTCCCGACTTAAATTATTTGTATAATAAATATCACTTAATAGTTTTTTCATTCTGCAATGTATACACCAATTCCTTTTCTATGCTCACCTCTTCCATGTCCATGAAGCCGGCGCCCTCCGAGAACATCTCATCAACAGCGAGCGATGGTTTCATATTTAAATCCATTTTGTTTGGTGCTGTTTTAATTTTTTATTTATTAAAAACTCTCCCTACAATTGTTTACGCTTTGTGGTGTGACACTGACCAGCGTTGCCAGCTTGGTGTCAGTGCTGCATCTGTTAATGTCATAAAATTAGCGAATGTCTGGCAACACTGTGCAAAACAGCTGTGCGTTTTCCGGCTTTTGTTGATTTGTTGAAAAAATGGTCCGCGTTGGCTTACAAATCTCAGCTACTCTCGAAAATATAGAAAAACTGGAAACGCATTCCGATTATGCGTTTTTCTTAAAGCTAACCTGCAGCAATTGCGGCGAAACATCGGAAAAATGGCATGATATCACCGAATCGGAACGTGTGCAGCAGGATTCTCGCAATGCGGCGGGCTTTAATTTCTATATGAAATGCAAAATGTGCGCACGGGAAAACAGCATTGATGTTGTGGAAAAGTCGAACGGTGAGTGGATATTCCAATTAGAAAACCTTTACTGATATTTTGCCTCGGTTACAGTGCCTTATACCGCTGAAGATACGGGCAAATTCAAGACAATTGTGGTTTTTGACTGCCGCGGCGTGGAACCTGTCGAATTTTCACCCCGGTCGGGCTGGAAGGTGCTTTCCTCGGAAAATGGTCAGGCGTTTGAGGATGTGGATCTATCCGAAGACGATTGGGTGGAGTACGACCAGAAAAACAACAACTCGGTGGGCGTTTACGAATTTGCGTCTAAATTTATAAAACTGAAAAAGTAAATCGAAATTTGGATTTTCTTTTTTCTGTTAAACTCGACTCATCAATAAAGCATTTGTTAAAAAATTGAAAATTCTTTTTGATTTGAGAAGCATTTTTCTTGCAGATTTACTTTTCACATAGAAATTTAAGCGTACGTGAGGTCTAATAAATATAGTATATAAAATATAGATAATTTAATATTTAGTCATTTAATGTTAGGCTGAGGCGCTTTAAGACACTATGTATTATGTTATGCAAAAATATATATAGTATACATATTTCTATATATATATATATTCCATTTAGCGATATCGTATAGTAATTATCAGACATACATATGTATTATACAATTATAAAATATATAACTATAGTTACGTAGCATAAAGGAATATACACAACGCCACTGGTGAATAGAGATAAAGATCTAATCCCTAAAGTTATAAATTAAATTAATGAATGCGTCAGTAAGATTACATTTTTAGATTAAATCAAACAGAGAGCAAATTGTTACCTAAACGTTAGGATCTACAAATTTAAATTCTTGTCTTCCTCCTAATGACATTTATCGGCCACAATGGGAAAGCGTACGACGCGTATCTCATTGCCATAGTCGCAGACCACTGAGTCGCAGGCGAGCATCATGAACTTGGGGCACAGCTGCAAATTGGCAAAGTCCAGCTTGACCTCGCGCGCCGGCTGACCCGTGCGCACATCCCACACAATGAGCGAACCTAAAAGACAAAACACGAATTAGCATAAATAATAAATGCTTTTGGCATTTTCCTACCCATCTTGCTGGTGACCAGCAGTGATGGCGTCAGCATTAACAAGCTCGAATAGGCATTCGAGATTTTGATGGTGGTCAGCAGATTGCCCTGAAAGCGTTCCCACACGCAGATGCGCTCATCGGTGCCCAGCGAGATCACATAGCTGGGCGCACAGGCCAGGCAACTGACGGCCCCGTCATGCGCTTGTATATTGTACATGCAGGCGCCCGTAAATAGATCCCAGACACACAGCAGCCCATCCTGCGAGCCAGAGCCGCCAGTGCCGGGCTGCCAGCGATCAACGAACAGGCAGGTCACAGGACCACAATGCCCGTGTAGGGTGTACTCCACATCTGATTTGTTCAGGCAATACACCTGAATGCATTGAAGAGCCATTTAGTCCAGCTTTCTATTTTATGTACTTTAACTCACCTTTAGCGTATGATCCTGGCTGCCCGTGAAGACCATGTCATTGACCACCTGCATGCAGGTAATTGGCTGCTGGTGTGCCAAACGCACACCCTCCAGCGTTATCTTCATTTCCTCCTTGGTGGTCTTCTGTGCCGCATCTTGTTGACGCTGCTGTTGCTGCATCATCAGCCCGATGCTGCCCGTGGAACCGGTGCGCACGTGTGCTGAAAAGGACATGAAATATTAAAAAAGGACTAAGACTAAATATTTATCATTTGTGGAGTCGGCTTTATACAAAACCTGAAAAAGATATTATACTCTCCACGGGCATAAAAATAACGGATACTGTTACATTAACATTGCAATTGCTTAACAGCGCTTCAAAATCTGCTCTAGATTAACAGCGCTAGGAGTTAGCTATTTGGTTAACAGTGTGCTTCATTTACAACCCGATAACAGACAGACAAGATTAACAGCGATAACAAAGCTTAGCTTTGATTTATCGATTGCTGCTCTATTAATGTAAACATTAGGCGGGCTTCTAAGAGTTCAAACTTACTGCGTCTGTAGGCGGACGTAAATCCCCAATCGATCTGCTTGCCCTTGTAGTACGTTTCCAGGCGATAGAAATCCAGCCGTCCATTCAGGCGCGCCACAATAACACGGTCACCGTTCAAATGAATGTGCGTAATGCCCTGATTACGCTTGGCATCCTCCTGATAGGCACACTTGAGCACACCGGCGGGAACCTCCCACAGCTCGACACGCCCATTGGCACAACCAACGGCAATGAGATTATCGAAGTAGTCCAGACACCAGACCGGCGATGTGGGCAGCTTGCGCAACAGCGTCTGCCCATCTTGACGTGGATGCGCTATTTGCATATCGCTGCGTCCAATGTTGGCCAATTGCTGGCCGGTGCGGCCATCCCAGACGCGTATCTGACCCTTGAGGCAGCAGCTAATAATGTAGTTCCCATCGCTGGCCAAACACTCGATGCGATGCTTGTGGCCGGCTATTTTAGTGGGCACACCCTCCAGTATGTGTTCGGTTTGCTTGTAGGGTGCCTCCGATTCGTGCCAGCTGGAACGCCATTCGGCATAGTTGCGCGTGCAGATGCAGCGATAGAAAACAACCATCGTATAGCAGAGCACAAAGATGCTGATGCAGCACAGCAAAATGGCAAAGAAGATCTCCATGGGACTCTTGGGCACTAACGGCGTGCCGCCAGCCATGACCATGGGCGATTCCCGACGTGCATCGTCATCATTGAAGTCCAGAGGATCCAAGGCGGCAGCCAAAGCTTTCCATTGAAAATTCTGCTGCAACTGCTCCTGCGGATTGCGCAAGACCGTGGCCAGTTCCGGGGATATGGCATGCGTCAGCCGTATGGTGGGCAGGAGCGTCACATATTGTCCGCTAAGCGAGACATTGTACTGCTTCATAATGGTCGACCAGTGGAAGTTGGACAGAAAATAGTTTAGCTCAAAGTTGGGATAACGCAGACGCATCATCTCCGCCTCCGTCTCATTGATATCGTGCAACGGCTGCTCTGTTGCGGGGGTCACATAGCTGGCTGTGCTGCCCAGACGCTCGCCCGTCGGCTTGAAGCCCTTGAGGAAGCTGCTGACGGCGCCGCGAGTCGCCTGCAAATGACGCTGCAGCTCGTAGGCGGTGCTCATGGTGCCATTGCTCTGCATGCTGAACAGCTGCTCCAAGCAGCCCGAGTTGTACAGAATGGAGCAGATCCATACGATCATCCAGATCATGAAGGCGCGCTGAAAGAAACGTGTACGCGCCCAGAAGTTCACAATCTTAATGCGCTTGGGTATGCGCGCCTCCTGTCCCACATGCGCGGCATGTCCGTTGACCAGTTGGGCGCGATCGCCAGCATCCGCAAAGCAAAGCTTGGGATGGGATTGGGAGCGTTGGAAAGTGCCGGGAACAAAGGGCAACATAGGCGATGGTGCAGCGCCAAAGAAACGGAAATCCTGTCGACTCAACGAACCGGCGCCAGCCTGTCCATTGCCCAGCGTACAGCTAAGCATCATCTTGGGCAAATGCTTGGCCTCCGTGGTATATTCCGCACGCTTGATATTCATGGCCAGTATGGTGGAGAACAACAGCATTTGCAGCATAAAGTCCGAGAGCAAGCCGACAATGGCAAACACGCAAAACTCCTGGATAACCGGCACAAAGGTGGCTAGTCCAATGGTCAAGATGGTGATCTCCGTGAGCAACGTCTTGGATATATGCCAGCCCTCCTTGCTCAAGGCTTGCGCCACACGTATTTTTACATCGAATGTCTCATCCATGGACACCACGCTCTTGGTAATAACTAGGCTATTCTCCAGGCCCACCAATATGACCAGATACGGGAATATATCCTTCGACTGCAGCGATATGGTTAGCCCGAAGAAGAAGCACAAGCCGAGCGACATGGCCAGGCTGCCCAACGTGGTCAGCACGCTGCAAAGCGCCAGCAGCACACGCGAGCGGAACACGTCGATCTTGCGCACCGAGAAGTACACATAGGCAAAGACCAAAACAAATGCCACGGTTAACGGCAGAAATTCCCAGATTTTCAACTCGCCCGGATAGAAGATGTACGTTATGGTCAACGGCTCCACATCGGCTGTGGCCGGCGCTGGGCTCAGTGGCGGATAAAAGCTCAACAGTTTCTCCTTCAGCGTTTCCAAATACTCCGGATCATTTTTGTTCAGGATCAGCGTCATGGCGTACTGTATAATGCGGGAGCGAGCACGCAAAGGATAACGTTTGAATCCAGTATCCTGCATCGGCAGTCCGAATAACATTTCCGCCGTCGACACTTTCGATTTTTGCAAATTCTGTAAAGAAAAACAAAACAAACGATCTGAGTTTTTATGCGGCATAGATAATGCTTTATAGATAATTGATCGACCGGTTGCCTCTTATCTTTGGAGTGCCCCCAGCTGTACTTTGGATCCGTAACGATTACTAAACTTTAAATAATGAGGGCCGAGACGTGTGACTCATATTGATTGGTAATGAATAAGTATTGAGAGGGGATCAATCAATGTTGCATGATTAATCATATTTTTTTAGTCTATAATCAACACTCTTTTTCAAATCTGCAAAACATAAAAACCTTTTTTAGAAGCAGATTTGTGATTTCTTGTTAATTTCATAATCTAACAACTACCAAAATTTTCCGCCTAATTAAACACTATTTGAAGGATCCAAGATAATCATTGATGGTTGATGGTTTTTGTTAAATGCAAATCATATTTCTGACTTATCTAACACTTACCAGCACTGTTTCCCACTAACATATTTCCATAAAATTCGAATCAGCCCATAGTATAATCAGGCATTCTTTACTCTGACGGTATTTGTTATTATTTTCACGAGGCTTTCATTATCTTATTCATTCTTAACAATTTTGGCTAAAGGCTTGTATTGTTTTGCTTATCGTTTCCATTGTAAATATATTTCCATTGACTTATATACTTCTTATCTGCTTATTTTTAGAATGCTTCAAAGAATAGCTTCCTTGTTTGCAAATCAATTCACAGCTTTTATCGGCGGGGGAAACTTAATAATAGTGTATATAAATTGTATATACTCGGGAATTTTCTACAATTGTCTCAAGTTCAAGAGCCTCGCTTTTAAAAAGAAATCATAATATTTTCGAATCAAATTTCACGCTACTGAATAATTGCCAAAACAGTAATTTTATGACTCAGTTTCACAGAGCTAAGGTACTCGATAGATAAGTATCTATATATAAACAAAGACGCATACACTCACACTTGCACACACACACGCACACACACAGACACGCATATCGGCAGGTGAGTCTCGACTGTGTATACCTTTTCATTAGCACAATCAACAAGTTAGAGTATAGTTGGATTATCGAGAAGAACAATCAAAGAATAGCAAATGTATGCACCGTTTAAAATCTAGACTTTGAAAGCATTATGCATAATACCCATTGATACGATACGAACACACATAGGCAAACACACAGTCGCTCATCCATAAATATTTACACATGCGAAATTATTGCAATGCGTTTAGCAAGCCCTAATCAGGTTTTCATATGCAGTCAAGCCAAGAGTTTAAATATGTGAGCGTGTGGCTTCCTACAGTATAGGTTCTTAAAGTTTTAAAAATACCGAATACGTTATTCTATAATATAGTTAAGATTGGTATTTTCTTTTACCTGAACAGTAAATTACTTTTAACATGCATGTTAGATTAACATTGTTTGACTCGTAATTAACATTCATGTTAACTTAACATGATGTTCTCTTTAACATTGCCAATAGATAGAAATTGGGTAACGGATATGTCCGTTGAGAAAGGTCATTAAAAATGTCTTATCGTGTGTCTATTCAAAAATGCCTTAACACGAGGATTGATAGACAACAAGAGATGATGACATGTCATGCAAAGACGATTAACAAGACATGAAAATGTTGTCAAAGATGTTCAGCAAGATGCCATAAAATAAGCTGAGTAGCTTTAAATAATAACTAATTACGTTTAACATGCATGTTACGTTAACATGAACTTTTAATGGAGTAGGCAGGCTGACATATATAAAATTTTAACAGTTACTTTTTGAGCTGTTTATGGCTCATTTTAAACCATGTGGGAATCAATGCCACCTAATCAAAATTTGACTACCATTTTAAGATATACTTTAGCCATAATGTTCTCTGATAAGGCGTTCAGTTTAAACTACCCAAGTGCCTTTTAGCTAATTAAATGTGTTACAGTCAAAGTGCAGTCCAGATTTTATGGATATAACGTGTGCTTGGGTAAATACAATTAACTGCCACAGAGCAAGATGAAATCCATTAGCTGCACACACACACACACTTAAAGCACTTGAGAAGTGTACAATTTTCGCACTTACATGATACTGAAAGATTGTATTTAGTATATTGGTATCTCTGGTAAAATTCTGTGCATTCTGTGCCCATAGATTTGCTGGCGATAACAATAGGCAGCCATATTCCGGAAAGATCTGATCCAATTGACCCTGGGCGCCGCGCTTCACATTGTCGACATGCAGACAGTTTTGCTCCAGTGTGCGCTGACTGTAAGGGAATTTGATTCAATTAAAGGCAATGTCATATGTGAATATATAAATGTAGCTACATCTATATAAGTATGTATATGTGTCTATATATATCGTGCCTACTTACTTCTCGCTGCTCTGATGATTGCGCACAATTTCAAGCAATTTAAAAACTTCATGAAGCGGCGCTCGAAACGCATCCATTAGCTGCATCTCATCGGTCCAGGGTAAAACGCTCGCCCGCAGGGTTATCTGTTGCACATAGAGCGCCGGACTGCTCTGCGCCCAGGGCATGCTGCCACCCCCGCCGCCCCCGCCACTCCCACTGTTGCTGCTCCCGCCGCTGCCGCCGCTGCTGCTGCTGCCATTGAATGCTGATGCACTGGCTCCACTTTGGTTATATGCGGCTGTTGCATCCGTTTCGCCAAAGAGAGGCGTGTAGCGTCCCTCGTAGGGCAGCACAATTTTGGTGGGTATGGTGCCAGGTAACGGTATGTTGATCAGTGGATAGCTAGACAAAGAAGAGGGAGAGACAGAGAGAGTTAGAAAGAGATGGAATGTGTGTGCGAAAGAGGACACAATAACTTTTAATTGGACTATTAAATAAATTTTGTTAATTCACCTATTTTGTGAGCATGCACGTGCTTGACTCCATTATAACCCGTCGCTTTTAAATTGTTAAAAATTTTACAAAACATATATCTACGACCCTATTTAGAGATTGAATATAATATGTATTAATAATATATACAATAATAGTCATAATAAATCCATGCTAACTACTCTTAAAATTGATTTCCGGCTCATATTTGGTTTTCTTTTTGATTTATATAATTTGTATTTTATTATTATATTTTTCTTTTCTTTTTTTTTTTTACTAATTTTTAGTGTATTGAATCAAAAATACAACACAGTTGGCTTAGGTGATATTTCGCCAAGCCTGTTTGGGTTCTCAGACTTTATTATTATTATTTTTTGTTTTCTAATATCTAATTTTTTCGAATCCCATTTTTTCCTTGTTGCTATTCTTATCCCTGTTCTTGACAATTGTGACATTCCATTTGATATTCTAATTGAAAACCATATTCAGCTCGGATTCCAATTGGAATCTGTACTTCCGTTCATATTCCAATTGGCCATTTATTTAATTGTTGTCTCTGCCTGTTCTTGTTTCAGTCATGCTCTTATTCCCGTTTCAACTAGTTTTAAATTCTATTTTAATTCCTGTTCTAACATCTTTATCCTTCTGTATTTGCCTGAGTATCGCAATGGGCTGCGCGTCGGCAAACTGAGTTTAGGGATCGAACACCTGTGCGAACAAGACATATTCACCTTTAGATCTTCAAATCTAATTACAGGGTAACAGCTAGTCAAGCACCACTCAGGTAATTCATTTAAACGAATTGTTGTTGCTGCTATTAGCGTTCATTAATTTTGTCATCTAACGCGTGCGTCCCAAACGATTTCCCGAGACATCTATAATCAATACACATGTATGCGTGTATGCATGTGTGTATGTGTGAGCGCATTTGATTTATCAACGCTTCGGTTTAGTGCTCAACATTTTATACATTCAAGGTTAGCGGGCCACAGCGACAACAACAAAAGCTAGAAGCGAGGCGCGACCGAGCCCAACATTTGAAAGGTGAAACATTAGCGGCTGCCAACTGATAAGAGATTAGGCAATACAACCAAAAAAAAAACGAAAAAAAAACATTAGGCATTACACCGCTGATAAGGCAGACACAAGGGCTGGTTGGCAACTGAGACAGATGGGGGCTTAATTAAGGTGAGAGTAAAGAGAGAGAAGAAATTGACCGTTTAAAGAAGAATATGAGCATCATAACATGCATGTCAACTTAACATGCATGTTAAATCGAAATGAATTAATATTTAAGTTAGCAATAAATGAAAATATTTATGTACATAGATGTAAAGAGATTAAAGCTTTGTGGAGATTTGAAGAGATATGAATTGCTTATTAACCACCTGTTTATAGTTATCTTTAACTCTTGCGGGAGTCAATGCTATCTTATCATTAGGTGGCCACCATTTCAAGATACATTTTAGCCAGCTATATATAATATACTGTATTATAGATTTAACGTTTTCGTTAGGATTTTCCAAACTTTTAAGAACTTGGAAGTTATTTCGTCTTTCTAAATCTTAAGTTGAAATAAAGGTGAGAGTTTAAAATCTATTAAAGTCGTATAGCCTCTTATAAGCTGTTACCAATGCGATTGAAGAAAGGAAATGCTCGACAAATCATTGTGTATTTTGCGGTTTCCCGCTTATTCATGGGCTACCTACGAAACGCCTTCTCTATAAGGCCGCATGGAATACTATCTATACGAGTTCGGGCATAAAATGGAACAAATGCCGCATGTGTTGCTAGCACACATATTAATAATGTATATAGAAATGTGTGTGTGTGTGTGTGTGTGTGTGTGTGTGTGTCCGAGCGTATTATTAAGTTATTCAATAATTTCAATTATCTATCGGACACTTTGCCGCAACCTGAGTATTTTGGGGGCAGTCTGGGGTCTAGACATTGTTTATTTATTTGTTCATCGTTTAAAATTGATAAAAATCTTTTGTGCGCGTGGCTCAGCGCAAAATCGGACAAATGTTCGTGTATATATAGACAGATGTACATATATAATTGAAATGTTTTGCATGAGCTAAAAATAAAAGTAATTTTGATGTATTGAAGAAACGTGCGTTAGTTGGAATGAATCGAATTGCTTTAATATATTTGATTGAACCTTTTAAAATCAATCGATTTTATAACAATTAAATATACAACATGCATGAATATTTGTGCATTAGCGGCATTGCATGTCCGGCTTATCAGGCACACTTTACGAGGCGCAAATTCATATTATGTATTCATTTAAACATGTATATAACACACATGCTATATAGAATGACTCGATTGACGCATGCTCTATGGGTTCAATAATTTGTGCTGATAATAAATATTATTATCTAACTGCAAGCCACGCTAATTTTCAATCACAATTTTTCTTCAGGGTATTCTCAGTATCTGTTAACTTTGTCTTTAGAAGAAGCTAAAGAAGAAATATCCTATAATCCAGTTTTTAAGTAAAAAACCAATTTTGTACAGCCCTGAATGCATTTACGAGAGTCTTTTACCTCTTGCACCTGAAAAATGCTCATATAAATCATATTCTTTGCCTTTTAGGGTATTCACATTCGGCCTTTTTAAAGTTCTTTTTTTTTTTATTTTTTTTAATTTCCTAAAGTGTTAAATCGACTTTATAGTATACTTTTTTATGATAGAGCAGCGCTGAGTCACGTTGATCAGAATTGCGATAAAAATGAATGTGTATTAGACATGCAAATTCCCACCAGGGTTGTTCATCCTGCAGGACAGTGGGAATGAACACAAACGTCACGCACATATATTTTGCATTCATATGCATGTGTGCGTCCGTGTATACGTGTATGTACGTATGCATGTATTGGTCTAACGATTCGTGCAAATAAACAACTTGCCAAATTTCTGACTTCTATATACATATACATATGTGGTTATGGACAATTCCCAGAATTCGCTAAGCGATTACCGAATACTACTTATAACGAAGATATTTAAAATACGGGAAGAAATGACAACGTTGACCGATTAGCAGATACCCTGTATGCCAGACTTTTATTACCGAAACGTACATCATCTTATGTCCAATTTATATGCAAGCAGCTTTCTTGAAAATAGGCATAATATCGCATTGCTTAAATTGATCGATATTGTGCAAAACCGATAACCTAATTTTATTCGCATGCGAAAAAAAAACTGGAATGGAATTAAATACTTATCGATCTTGGTAAAATAAAAGCTAATTTAAAGTCGACTTCTCTTTGCGTGAGGTATAACGTATATTCTGACTTTTATCGATATCAGCTCAAAGAACAGAGTCGAATATTTATCGACTTTAGGCAAAAGGACGAGTTAAAATAATATACAAGAGACTGCATATTAAATATAATGCACTTGCCTCTTATGTTCCCTGAGATCAATGCCTCTACTCTTACAGGGTATATAAAGCAAATTAACTTACCACGAAAGCAAAATCGCCATTAGAGCAATGCTGGAGGCGCATGTTGGATAGCTGGATAGAAATAAGCCGTGCTTGTAGTAAAAATGCGAAACCGAAGCCGGCAGGCCGGATGAAGTGGACGCCGTTGTTGAGGCGGCTGTGGTGGCCGTCGCTGGTGAATTGATTTTAAGCTTTGGCGATTTACCGTTGCCATTTGCAGTCAATGGCTGCGACGCGGACGCAGCAGCCGCAGCCGCAGCCGTCTTGGCAGAGCCATCTGTTGCGGCTGCCATGCCGCCTTCCTATACACAGCCTCACACACACGCACACAGATAACGAGAGAAAGAGAGCGCGCGCGACCGGAATTTACAGCAGAGGTAAACACACAACCAGAGAGATATTGGAGTGAGAGCGAGCGAGTGTGGTGAACTTTAAGCGTTGGTTCTAAACGTAAACTTTGAGTTTTGGCTTTTTAAACTTTTCAATGCCAAAAATTACGCAATTTCGCATATGCAACGCATCATTTGCGTAGGCGACGCGTTCACGCTTGTCGCAGCAGCAGCATCAACGGCAGCAGCGGCAGCTATATTATTTATTAATAGCGTTGATTTTGGCTTTGCCGCTGCCGTCGCTTTGATTTTCACTTGAATTATAATATCGACACATTTTTGCATTCTGCTGTCTATTGATTTTTCTTTTTCTTGCGCTTCATTCGCACCTTTTGGCCCCAGTTTGTTGTTGTTAATTAATTGACATTTTCGCGCATCTTCACTGGCCGCGCGCATACACATACACATACGCACACAGATACACGTTTACATTTGGACGCGCTGCTCGCACATTCAATCTATATGCATATGAGTCGCCTATTTATTATTGTTGCTGTTGCGTATTGTTATCAAATTATCACTCAATAAAATCACACAAAAAATGGCTTTTCAGCATGTATATTGCGAATTGTCATTGGATCAGCACTTTTCGTTCTAGCTTGCTTTTCCTTTCTGCCCTTTCTGGTATTTTTTTTTTTGCACGGTTAAGACGCATAAAGTTTTACTGCGCGCTTTTTATGTCTGGCCCGATGTTGTTAACTTTTAGTAATTTTTTGGGTTGCACTTTATAGTATTTGTATATATGTATATATTTATTGTAGTTTATTAATTTTATTGTTGTATTAAACACGTTTTTCCTTGCGGCAGGCGCATAAGCTTGTTCGTTACTCACGGCACGATAACTTTGAAAGAACAACATTAAACAGCTGAGCATGCTTAACAGCTAAGCGGCTGTGGGCACCCAAAACTATATAACATGTGTTCAAATGTTATTAACAGCAGCACTCAAATATCGATATATTTTGATTTTAACAGCAGCTATATTGAGGCTGCCATATTGCTATTAAGGCGGTTGTAATTTTAAAAGTTGTATTTCTGTTCTGTATGTTTAAGTTGGATTATTTATTTATTTATTTATTTGGTTTTTGAGCGCTTATGTTTAAAAATGTACATATTATTGTATGCTTTTGATTTTACACCAAAATTAAATGTAAAATAGTCATATAATTGAACAAGAACCTTTCGAACTGTTTCATTAGTTTGAAGTATTACCTCAATGAGCATAAATCTTTTTTAGCCTTATTTTGAATATTATGTACACTATATAATTCGCAACAGGACTATGGAACTAGCTACAAAATGTTACGGGCTCTAAAAGAAACCATACCTAAGTGTGGCTATCTCAACCAAATTGTGTAATAAATTGACGGTTATAATAGACATAGACATAGCCTGTTCTCAATATTCGCGCTATACTAGTCAATCTTTGTCGTGGGCATCGTATACTCTCCCGTCATCGCCTCCGTTGTAACATACTCCTGCTGTGGCGGCAGCTGATGATACAGCACATGCTCCGAGCCCGGCGGCGTATACGTATCACGACCCCCAGCGGCATTATTGTGTATGCCATTCTCATTGCATCGACTCTTCCCGGAGCCGAACAGCAAAACTGTTCCTTTGCTGAGCAGCGGGCACAGCAGCGCCTGATGGCAACAGGCGAACAGTCTGTAGTTTTGACCCTGAAACGGATCCGATAGGGCCGCGCACAGCATATGATCCAGATTGATGCCCGTTAACTGTAAAGAATATGAAAATGGAATATTAGTTTACAAGTATAACCCGCCTTTATTCGGATCATTCTGACTAGTTTCCCTATTCCTCGCATTTTCAACACGAAGGAGTGGAATACACATTTTTTAACGATAATTTTAAGCAATTCGAACAAATGAAAAGATAAAAGTTGAAGTTTTCATTTAACTGATTCGATTGTAAAACAAAAATGTTCCCAACAAATGTTTTGCTCCAATTTTCCAGCCACAAAAGGTAACTACTGTGCCAACTCTTACCGTTCGACCTGTGCATTCATCATCAATCAGACAGTCAGTCAGTCAGTCTGTCAATCAATCATTTGTATACCCATAGAGTGTACTTGCAAGCTGTCACTTACGATGGATAATGGCGAGAGCAGCACAAAATGATAGAAGAGCATGAAGGCCGTGCCGATTTTGACCCACTTAAAGTCACCCAAGTCCTCGATTGTGTAGGCGCCTAGAAGTAGACTCGATTGATAAGAGATAAATGCAACAAATTCAAGGCTAAATACCACTTCTCAAGATGTAAATGGGTATAATGTAGAGCAGCGCGTGCTGTATCCAATAGGTGGCCTGCTCGAAGGGGTAGGTGCGTCCCTCGACCTCGGGAAACACAAAGGCCAGAAATGGTCCATTCAAATTGCTCATCTGTATACGAAACAAGGCAGTCGTTGTCTTTGTGGGCTTGGCAGCCAGCAAATAAATCTGGATAGCAACGAAATGCCTTTAGTTAATACCCTTGCCGAGATGAAGAAGATCTTACCTGCAGACACGTTTGCACATGGCAAGGATTCAGTGCAAATATCATGGAACCTCCGGCCAGCTTGAAGCCCATCTCAATGCCAAAGACGAAGGACATGCTGATGAGCAGGAAAAGCCGCATCGGACTGTGCGATTTCTGTATCTCGTGTGTCGGGGGCAATCGTATGGGCGCCAAACGCTTCCAGTTCCCGTGCATGATATAGATGAATAAAGCGGACAGCAGCGCCGTTTCGGTCCATCGGCGTCGATCGGTCATGTAGTTAATGCACTCGGGTCCCGTGGTGCGCGGTATCTCATCCGTAATGCCGCCCACAGCCCAATCCCATTCCATATTGGCTGTCTGTTCCTTTTACCCTTGGACCTCGACTTCGACTTTACAGCGCCTCAAGGAACTACATTATACAAATGGAATCCTGTATTAAAACCTTGGCTACAACCCCCGAAAACTTGGCTCTGCCGTTAAATATTAACTGCATTGCGTGTTGCTAACAACCCGAAATAAAAATTGTTTTCAAATTGTTTGTATGGCGTTTAAATAAATTGCTTGCCGCATGCCAACCTTTCCGCTTCCGCCCTGCAGCGGCGGGTAAGACCCAAACAAAGACCAATAATGTTATCGAAACAAAAAGACGTACCCAAGCCCAAGGAAAAAGAAACACAGCATTAAATTTATAAATTTGCAAGAATATGAATAAGTCTTAGTAAAACATGAAAGTTAGTCAATTTTTTAGATTTAAAAGTCTATAAGAAGGAGATATTTGGATCTAAATTTTGTTTTCCCTAATTTCTTACTACCACAGTTTCCTGTTTACGGTTCGAACCAGCGCTTTTCCTTGGGTTTAGCTGCATGGACCTACCTTTCCTTAACTACGAACCCTTGTTCCAAATATAAACTTATCAATTTAATTGATTATATTATATATTATTAACAAAGTTAGAAGAAGTTTATAGATTCTGTATGATGGCCCTGGGCTAGTCCATATTTTAAAGGCTTATAATCAACCTTTTAAAGAGCATACAAAATACGGCATTAACATTTAATTTTGTTTGTTTTTCGGTTGTTTTTGTTTTCCTTTTTTGTTTCTCTTTTCTTCCGGAAACCGGGCACAAGCGTTAAGGCCGAACAGGTGTATCCCACATCGAAATAGTCACCTGCCCCCAATTACCCAACCCCCAGCGTTACCCCTCACCAGCCCCATCCACTATGCCCTCATTTTTGTTGGCGGACTGTCAAGTGAGAAGGCATAGCATGTGGGCGTGGCATGTGCATTGTGTGGGCCACTTGTTTAATTTGTTGTTAGGGCAGAAAGTAGAAAAACCGTCGGGATTGCCCAAACAGTCAAATATTCTAAATCAGTGTATACTTTAGGAGAGCTTGTTTGCTACATTTGGTGTTTAGAGCTCGATATCGATATTTATCGATTTCATGGAAAAGGGCGAGCTATCGAAGATTGAAGAAGTTAATGCACTCGGAGGAAGTCTTGTTCTGCGCAAAAAATGCAAGAATCTACGTTCTTAAGGCCTCTTAAGCCTCCAGCTTTTATAGTTCTCGACTAAGAATACAAGTAAGTCACAAAAGCCTTGTTCTGCCTGTCACATAAGCTTGCACAAAACCAGTATACCCATTCTTGCACATGCTCCATGGGTTCGGGGTATAAAAACAAAAAGAGGCCAGCTATATTGGGCTATGGTGGGGGTGTGGATGGGCTGTGTGGGTGTGTGTTGGCTGTCAGGGTTTTAGGCTAAATGCATATATTACAAAACTGCATTGAACATGAATTGCTGTCAACGTTGACATCTGCCGCAGCTGCGTCTAAACTTGGCCAAGTGCCAAGATTGAAGGCCGTGCCAGTTGGTCAGTCCCAGCCGCAGTCACAGTTCCACTTTCAGTCCGTTTCCCACAGCTTAGGGCTTAATTATGAATGGTTTACTTACATATACAGTGAAGGCTCTACCAACGAAAATCTGCTTTGGGCAGAATCGAATGAATAGAGCTTAACTTAATATTATTAATTTTAATTTGTTTCGTGGGTTATTTTTGAGTTCCTTCAAGAAACGTACACAACACCTTAAGTATGGTAGGTATTCGCTTAAGGGAGCTTTCACTATACATGTGTGTGTATGTACATATACACTTATAGTCAACATAATAAGCACACTAACATAGCTAGCCTCATATTATTTATAAAATGTATACATAAATTCTCAAGATATGTAAGTGTACTTATTATTTTGAACACAAGTGTATGTATACATGCATAGTAATATTGTATTGACAGGTGCATTTATTTTAAAGCCTACTTTCCAGCATTTCTGTTCTGGTGAATGATAACACACACACCCACATACAAACACACAAATGGATACAGACACACATGCAGACAGACAATAAACAAACGTTATTGTGGTTTTCATTGTCAAGAACAGGCAAATAGAGGCAAATGCATATGTGCGAGCGAGCAAGTAATAAAGAGAGAGCATCAATGGGAAATGAGCAAGCGAAATGTTTACAAGGTTTTTGGCCAGCGGCTGAGGCGGCGGCGGAGGCAACGGCAACGACAGCAAAGCTTGGCCGGCCAAGCGCCATTTGTGTCAGCTGTTTACCAAAAGCGAACAGCAGAGGGCGCCACTAAAAAAACACTTAAAAACAGCGGACATTTCCCTATTCGATTTTTCAAGCTGTTTAATTTACTAAATAGCCTAACTTGCCTTAGCTTTTTTTATATAAATAATGACAAATTTGAAAATATATATATTTATTGACATAAACAATTGCTCACTTTGATCGTTGCGTGTTAATACACACAGCCACGTGGTTTCACAGAAAGCTCCACGCTACACTTGAAGCCACTCGCGTATTTTTTTATTTTTACATGGGCCACATTGTATTTATGTGCGCCACACTCTTGATTTATTTATAATTATGCACATTCTCTATGCTCACTTATGAAATTGCATGGCGAATTTAGAAAAAATTAAATATGGGAATATATGTTGCGAGCGTAAAATAAAACGCGTCGCAACGTCGACTGTGAATGCGGTTGCGACTCTTACTGACTGTCCGTTGACGCTGTGTCTGTATTTATCCCCCAAATGGGGGTTGTTTCCGGCAGTGGTTTGTTTGCGACTCCTTGCAAGGCATTTCAAATCGTAGCCGAGCGTTGTAAACATGTCTTTTTGATTTGATTTTATTCAGAGTGGAATGTGGTAAAAAAAAAACAAAATCTTGCCTAATTTCAAATAAGAAACGTTATTCTAACCGTTTTAAAGCTTTCTTTCGTTCTAAAAATCGAAATATATATCTTTTTGATGTTTAAATATGCTTTCATATTATTAACTATATTTGACTATATTATTAAGATCAACATAAAAAGACATGTTGACTCACTTGGTGCATTGTGCGATTGTGAAGTCCTTAGAAATTAGCATATTCCCCACATTGCTAGCACTGCCGAATTCACCACAGTTGTCACTCAAAGAGCACTGAGCTTTTACGCGCTCATCGGCCAGCGAGGCCTTTGTCAATTTGGCGCCAAAACACGCACACACACACATGCAGATACATGTATGCAGATAGATGCACATGCAAGGGCATATGTATGTGTATGTGCATAGCGTACTCACATGACAATGCGATTGCGACAAATTGGATTAAAAGCAGACATAAAATGCGAACACGAGTGGACACGATAGACTGATCTGCTGAGAGAAGCTTTAGCGATAATTATGAAATAAGTATTTACACGTGTGCATATATAAATTATGGATATAATGGGTCAATGAATAGTGGGCGTTTCCTAATTTGATATAAGTATTTATATGTATGTATGTACATATGTATGTACCTATTTGTACATACAACATACATATGTAATTGAACTGTGATTATCCGTGTTGCTCAATACGCAGCTTCGTACGGATAATTCGAAATCCCAATTGAAAGAAGCCTCATGGTAACATTTATAAATGTTTCTAAGATGTCTCGTTGGGAGGCATTAAATCAAGCGCTTACCGCCTGATAAAATTCCGGATAATCAATTTTATACTGTAATTTGATCCTTTTAAAATATTTTAATTTTACGCCCATTTTTTACCTCCGTTAAATCATGTGACTTCAAAACGCGCGACGTTACCGTTAGCGTCCGGAACAGGCAAATGAGCGCATGTAACTGCAATTAAGCGAATACTAAGGGAAAACACAACACAAACGGGCGAGCTAACGAATACGAGGAAATACAACATTAACAATGAATGCTCTTTACGCGAGTGCCCGACTAGCAGATACCCAGGCAGTGAGCAGAGATTCGTAAAAAGCTCGTCGAAAGTGATTGGTGGTAATTCTTCTTTCGCTTTAGCTTAAACTATAGAAATTTATTTGTTTAACAGCTTTAACATCTTTTGATCAGGTTCAGGTTTTGAAGATGGTATTCAAATACGTGTCCAGTCAAAAAGCAAGCCTATTCTTTACAAAAAATATTCGATTTTTATTGATTTACAAGATATTACACAATGTACTTATTTATACAGTTGCGCATGCCTCATTTTACGCTTTTGCAATGGCTACAGGGTAAAACAAATATATGTAACGAAACGAGTGACAATATCTAGTGGACATGGAAATGGTTGAATGTGCGAGTAGTACAGCAATAGACACATCCATGTAAATCAAATTAGTCAAATGCAGAAATGATTGGTGCACGTAAATTATCATTCAACATTCTACATTCGTTTCCATAACCCTCTGCATGCTCAATACCTATTGCTCGTGCATTGTTGACCCTGAACAGATAACACAGATATGTAAAGGGTAGAAAAACAGGTAGTCTTCGTTAAAAATTAAATTAATCGATAAATCGATTTGACTCCTCGCTTGGTAAAATAACGGTACGTAGCCCATTAGCACAGAGTTGCCATGTACACAATCGTTGGCTAACGATTGGGCAACGCCACAATTGTGCATGTTGCTTGCGTTTGGAGTGTAAGAAAGAAATTATTTATATATGTACATAAAAATGCAAATAAGCAAACGTTTTTTATTTAGTATATAAATATATTATATTTTAAAGTTAAAACAAGGTTCTTCGGATTTCTTTAATGATTCTGACGAGGCAGAACGGTCTCGGACTATTCTTTATTAAATAAACAATGGGATGTCAGCTAGACGGCATTTGATTGGGGTTGTTGGAATATTGAGTGTTGAAATAAGTGAAATCTGGTTTTAAACACTGTGTTGTAAATAATAATTTAACAACACTGAAGGCTTTTGTTGTTTTAACAAACAAGTTGACGCGCTAAGCAATCCAAATAATAAATATCAAAACGAACATAAAATAAAACTAAGTGTTGTTATTTAATTTTGTGTGATTGGAAGGGAATATTCCAATAGGGGTAGTAGAGCGTCCCAGTTCAATATAATGGCCATATTCCTCGCCCAGCTAGTCCACGTTCGTCCAATGAATAGCAATGTATACTCCAGAGGCATACACAAGGCAGAGGCGCCAAGATCGAACGACCAGGTGCTTCATCCTGCCGTGATTTCCAAACAAAGGCCACCAAAGAATGCTGGATAGACCGTACCAAATATAGCTTCAAGTACCTATGAATAAAAAATTTAAAACAATAAAGTACGGCGGAAATACATGAAAAGGTGAATCGTTTTCCGCCCAATTCCACATTAAAACAAAGTTTTCTCGAAGAGATACACACAGACATTATGCTTCGTCGATCCAATCCAATATATTTTGTCTCAAAAAGCATCATGTATAAAGTTATTTTGAATGGTTCTCAAATAGAAAGTGAATTCATTTAGAGAATAGGATGATACATAATCTCACAAATTCGATTGATCTATGATCGCTACCCGAATATTATTTAAATGTTGTATACCTTTCTGTATTCAACTGTCATATAAAATATTCCTTGTTTATTTGCCTTTGAGCAACTGTTGGATTTCATCTAAGCTCTTGCCCTTTGTCTCCGGCACACAGAAAATGACAAAAATACACGATGCAAATGAAATAACAGCGAATCCCCAAAACGTGATCGCCGAGCCGAACTCTAGCACGCACACTGGAAATAATTTGGTGACAACAAAAGCAAATAACCAAGTAGAGGTGGCCACGATGGCGCCACAAATGGGCTTGACATCCTCCGCAAACAACTCAGCCATAACCAGCCACGGCACCGGGCCATAGCCCACAGAGTAGCCAACCTCGTATACGCAAACGGATGTCACAGCCACCCAGCCGACATTCAAGTCCTTCATGCCCATATAATAGAAGCCCAACACAAGGGTTGTAATGCCCATCAAGACACCAGAGAATATTAGCAGCATTTTGCGTCCAAGTCGATCGATATACATCGTGGCCGGAATCGTTGAAATAACGCTAACGACGCCAATGATTATGGTGCAGACTCCCGTTGGAATCCCAGTGCCGGCTTCCTCGAATATACTGGCCACATAGAAGGTGATGGCACAGATGCCGGTACACTCCTGGAACACCATCAGCATTACGGATATGAAGATGCCCTTGATTGTGGTCTTGCGCGAGAATGCCTGGCCCCAGGTGGCCTTTTTCTTTTGGGCATCTGCGATTAAGATGGCCATTTCACCGCTAAGATCCGCATCGGCGCCACGCAGTCCCCTGAGGACCCTCTCCGCCTTATCGGGTTGGTGCTTCTGCACCAGATATACGGGCGATTCCGGTACCCAGATCAATAGCACAAATATAACGATTGTCATGACACTGCACAATATGTTAAAGGTCTCTACTGAACAATAACTACCGGCTATGAAGCTATAGAGTGTACCGTTAACGATCATCAATTGGAAAAAGAATCCCATAATGCCGCGGGTCTTCACCTCGGCTATCTCCGTTGTGTAAATGGGCGCGGCGACGCTATATGCACCGCTGCAGGCACCCAAAACGAAGCGTCCGATGAACAGCATACACACATGTTGGGCAAATAAAATGCATGCCCATCCTAGAAAAAATGGTACGGCCAGCAGCAGCATAACCAATTTGCGTCCAAATGCAGCTATCAGCACTCCGGAGGGCACACACATGCTGGCGGCACCCAGATATAACAGCGAGGCGGTCCAGGCGAAATCATCTAGGGTGGCCGTAAATTTGTATGCGGTGCCAGCCTGGATCGAATGCTGGACAGGACCCGACCAGCCCTCCGAGGTGCCCAAGCAAAAGCCACCGAAGGTTGCCGAGAGACCGGCCAGATATTGCCTGAGGACACCCATGTCCCAATAGAATAAATACCAAGCTTAAATTTTTTTATATTTAGTTTTTGAACGAAAACCCCAAATAGAATGAGGCTGCTCGATCTGGAATTGCTGTCTGGCACGAAAATTAGAAGATTGCGAAAGTTTAGGACGGAATTGTGACTTGTCCAATTAAGTGTACACTAGCCAAAGGTTTTCAAAGTAATGTTTGGGCCACGCCCACTTCTGCCACCAGAAATTGCAAAAAAAGTATAAATAACGAAAAGTTCAGTAACATGTAATAAAGAGTATTGCGTAGTCGGTAGCACCCGACAATGTCAAGCTGATGTGTACAACAGTCGAGAATGTCCGACTAGGAGATCTCTCTACCTGAACATGTGAAGGTATTTTGTTGAATCCTGGTCAATCTAGAGTTCCACTGTCAAAAAAGTGTATTGCATAGTCGGTTGCACCCGACTCCCAAAGAGTACACTGGGAGATATTCCTATATGGCATTACAACTTTCAGAGGCTATGCATCCCAAGGAAGATTACCTCTCCAAATGGAGCAGCAGAAGGAGCAGAGGAAAGTATCCTATAAATAAATCATATATAACAAATATGCAGTTAATATAAGGAACTTTTAAGATCTGTAAAATGGGTTAAGAAAATTCAATTAGGTTGTAAACTTCTTCTGCAATAGGAGGTGTTTAATAGTATTATTTTCAAATCAGAAATATTAATACATATTTGTACTGTAAATTTGTACTTTGTAAATTTTTATGCCCGACCAATTGATTAGCACGACCAATTGCTAAAGCCGAAGCTCAGTCGAATATGTAAGATTATATAGGCGATTGTTCGACTAGATTTTAAGACAAATATGGAGTACCTTTCACCTATTGTTGCCTAATAATAATAATAATAATAATAATAATAATAATAATAATTCCTCGCTCATTTGCCTTTGAGCACCTGTTGGATTTCATCCAAGCTCTTGCCCTTCGTCTCCGGCAGAACGAAGATGACGAAAATAACCGCTAAGAGTGCAATGACAGTAAATCCCCAAAATGTCGTTGCCGGACCGATGTCTCTCAGGCATATTGGAAATACTTTGGTGACACAAAAGGCAAATAGCCAACTACAGGTGGCCACGATGGCGCCACAAATGGGCTTGATATCCTCCGCAAACATCTCGGCCATTATTAGCCACGGCACTGGGCCGAAGCCCATCGAGAGCCCAAAGACGAATACACAAATAGCGACCATGGGCAGCCAGCCGACCTTCTTCTCCATTAGCCACTTAAAGTAGGCGCCCATTACGAAGCTGCTGAGGAACATTAATACGCCGGATACAATCAGGAATATGCGTCGCCCAGCCATATCGATAAATAGGATAGCCGGTATCAATGCAACAACTCCGAACACGCCAATTATGATGGTAGAGATCGCCGGTGACAAGCCAGTCCCGGCCTCCTCGAAAATAGTGCCCACATAAAAACAAATGCCATTAATGCCCGTGAATTGTTGGAAAAACAACAGCGTAACTGTTATGCATAAGCCCTTGATGGTGACCTTGCGCGACAATGATTTCCAAATATTGGTCTTCTCCTTTTTACTATCGGCCTCCATTGCAGCCATATCGGCGCCAATATCCGCATCCTTTCCACGCAGCCATTTCAATGATTTTTCTGCCTGCTCCGTTTTACCCTTCTGCACCAGAAATACCGGCGATTCGGGCATCCACATGAATACCACAAAAAATATGGCCGGAAAAATGCCGCACAGTATGTTTAGTAATAGTACCTTGCATAAACTGCCAACCACGAAGCTAAAGAGTATCCCATTCGCAAACATTAGCTGAAAAAAACAACCCAATACGCCGCGTGTCTCGATCTGTGCTATCTCTGTCGTGTATATGGGCACCGTTAGGCAGAAGGTGCCAATGGAAGTGCCCAATAGAAAACGTCCAATTAATAGCATGAACGGACGCTGTGCTCCAATGATACAGACCCAGCCCAATAGACAGGGCAACATCAGTAACAGCATAATCAATTTTCGTCCAAATCTAAATGTCAATATTCCAACGGGTATGCACATGCACGCGGCGCCCAGAGTAAACAGCGAGGCAGCCCAACTCCATTCATCCAGGGTGGGCACAAACTCAAATGCTTCACCCGCGAGTACGGAGGTCCCCACGGGTCCCGACCAGCCAAGAGAAGTGCCCAAGCAGAAGGCACCAAAGGCTGCTATCAAACCGGCAAAATATTGCTTTATGAGTCCCATTTATGAACAATTTTTTTATATTTAAATATATATTTTAAATATGTAAGCTAAAGGGCTTCAACCGTGTTTGTAAGAAATAAAGTTAGAAGTGCTTTTGATTTCAGCTGTCAAAAATATTACATTCAAAAGTGCTAGATTCAAAATTGGCTCACTCTGAAATGTGGAATACACACAAATTGCGCCAAAATCAATTACATTCCAACGGCATTTAAATTCGATAAGAAAATGTATCGATTTACTATTATCGCTGTAAATGTAATGTAAGCAAATATGGCTTACAGCCCAGCTCTGTTAAGCTGCTGTTATACTCGCTTTGTATGTTAGTTTGAGATCTTGGTGGCAAACGCTTTGAACGTATGGAATAATTATCAAATATATGTATATATGCCCCATTAGCACCTTATTATGCTCATCTACATTTAAAATCATATACCCCATAAAAAGCAATACAAATATCAAATATTATGAAAATATACATAATACCTCGCTTAGCTGCCAAGTGTTTGTATAGTCGGGAATAAAATTTAATTTAAATATCTAACGCTTCGAATGGACCACGTATGTACACATTATATACATATATATACATATATACAATCCATAACATACAGACACAAAATGTAAATGTTTAAGATCCCTTACTGACCAGGATCTGCATTCCAGCACATTTGATTAGAAATTTGCAACCATACCGAGAGTATAAGCTATGATATCCCCATTCCTCAAATGAATACTAATAAAGCATAATCAACAATTATTATGGTTGTACGCATCGTGCTGACTTATATAAGTGGTTCAGATATCCAGATTAATGTGGAAATTATCCCATTAACAAACATAAGCTGCAAATAGCAGCCCACAATACCCACAACTAGGTTCGTTGCATAAATGCGACCAATCAATGCCCAGCGACAGGCATCGATAACGATTTTCCAATAGGCATCATACATACTTTTTTGGCCGTCAATGATATAGAGAAATGCACCAATCAGTATTCCAACCGGCTCTGCGAGTTTTCCTGCATTCATTCCCGCCCTCTCAGCGGATCCAGCACCTGTAGGGTCCATCTCAGTGGGCCCAACATCCGTAAGGATCTCCTTCTCAGGCATACATACCAAGCATCCAAGGGTGGACGTAAGACAGTAAGGACCTCCTTAATGCCTCTTGGGCCCCCAATAATCTGGAATCTTTTCAAAAAATGGAGAGCCGCCGACATCCATACCACATATAAATGCAGCAAGGACCTTCTCAACGGGCCTAACACCAGTCAGGTTCCCCTCCTTCTCAGTGGGCCCAACAGCAGAGAGGACTTCCTTTTCTGCAGGTCCGGCCACTCCACAGGGATTCACATTTGTTGACATATTTTAAATTTTGCACATTTCTATAATTTACTAAAAATAAATACAACTAGAAAACGGACACTTCTGTAGCTAAACAAACTTTTCACAACTGAGCACTTAATACTGACCGAGGTTAGAGTAGAACAGTAAAACAATAAATTGACAGCATAGTCAATGACACTATTCTCAGCAAGACCTTTTAAGGAATTAGTTTTTTAAAAATTCTAAAAAAACCAATTGTAAAATTTCAATACCGAATTTAGCCAAACATTGGAAATGATCGTTCGTATAATAGCTATATGATATTGTCACCCGATGTTAATCAAATATATATATGCTCATATGTTAGGAGCATAAATATGAAAAATGTAAATAACTTCAATAAACTTGTGCAAGATACTTTGAAAAACAAAAAAGTTGCTCATACAAGGAACTTTATATGCTTTGGAGAGGACCGTAAACGTATTTTATGATAAAGGCATAGAAACAGACGGACGGACATGGCCACATCTGCTCGGCTGTTCATATTGATCAATATATAGACTTTGAGGGGTCGGCCGAGAGGACTATAATAAATAGAATGTTAGCAGATATAACTTTCATCTTTAACCGAAAAATCTTAAGCTCGAATTCGCCGATAGATAGATTACCTTAGAGGAGTGGAAGAGATAGAACAAGAGAAAGATTCCCACATTTTAACATTTTGGAAAGAAACAAAAGTTGATATTATATAATAAAAAATCCAGCAGACATTAGCCAAGCAAATACCTTGCACTCCAACTAAATAGCATGCATATTTCCAATGAGATCACAAACCTTGTCTGCTAAAAAACAATTTCGATCGTGATCAGGAAAATCAAATATCAATTTATTTTGAATAGATTTACTTCAAGACAGCCGAAGCGAAATACATAAGTATTTTTTACTAGCAAATTATCCGCCAAGAACACCTTGAATCTCGTCGATGGTTTTACCCTTCGTCTCCGGTACAAAGATGGCCACAAAAACACAAGCTAAAATTGCGAAGACTGTAAATATCCAAAAAGTAATTGCCGGACCGAATTGATATAGGACGAGCGGAAATAATTTGGTGACAGCAAAAGCGAACAACCAACTGCTGGTGCCCACAATTGCGCCGCAAACGGGCTTCACATCCTCCGCAAACAGCTCGGCCATAATCACCCACGGCACCGGGCCGAATCCCAGCGAGAAACCGACCATAAACAGGCAAATTGCCAGAATGGCCAGCCAGCCAACTTTCGCGTCCTTCAGCCATTGAAAGTACACACCCATTATCAAGGTGGTGGCGCCCATCACAATTGCCGATATGAGCAGCAAGAGCTTCCTGCCGGCCCGCTCCACAAGCAGAATGGCAACAATTGTGGCAAATACCTGAACAACGCCCACCAGAATCGAGCAGGTGTTCGCCGAGAGGCCAGTGCCGGCCTTCTCAAAGATAGCGTTAACATAGAACAGAATCGCATTGATGCCCGTCAACTGCTGCAGCAGCATCAATGTCATGGCGATGCCGAGTCCCTTCCAGGTCACCTTGCGCGACAGCGCCTCGCGGAACGTCGCCTTCTCCTTCTTACTGTCGGCCGCCATGGCGGCCATTTCGCCGCTTGTATCCGCATCGCCTCCACGCAGCCATTTCAATGCCTTTTCCGCCTTCTCCGTTTTGCCCTTCTGCACCAGAAATACGGGCGATTCGGGCATCCAAAAGAATATTACTAGGAAAATAAGCGGCAAGATGCCGCACAATACGTTAACGAGGAATGGCTTACAATAGGCGCCCACAATAAATCCAAAAAGAATGCCATGCACGATCAGCAGCTGGAAAAAGCAGCCCATTACGCCCCGCAATTTGACCTCTGCTATTTCTGTGGTATAGACGGGCGCCATAACACAAAAGGCGCCACCGCAGGCACCCACAACGAACCGGCCAATATACAGCATGAACGCTTTCTGCGCTGCAATTATACAGCCCCAGCCAAGAAAATATGGCAACGTTATGAGCAACATGATTAGACGGCGTCCAAATGCACGAATCAATATGCCAACGGGCACACAAGCGCAAGCCGCTCCGAAGTTTAACATCGAACTAATCCAACTCCATTCATCCTGACTGGTCGAGAAATTGTACGCAGCACCCGATGTTACCGGCAGCTCCATGGGGCCGGACCAGCCAATTGAGGCGCCCAAACAAAAGGCACCGAAGGCCGCAGCCAGGCCGGCCAAAAATTGCTTTAATACGCCCATTCCAGTACAGTATGATGTACAATAGTTTTCGTTTCCCTCTTAAAACCAACAAAAATTTTAAATAAATAGAATATTTAGAAAAACAAGCCCCTCTGTATTACTAAAGAACTATCAAATTTTTCACTTTACTAAGTCAGTTGCGATACTGTAATTATTCGAAAATTTCGGCCCCAGGTAAAAGTGGCATACAAACAAAAGTTAATATGATGCTCGAGATTTGGATGATAGACTGCTGAGAGTGGTCGAGTCGAGTGTTGAGTAATAAATGTAAATATAATAATAATAGAAATCTAAAACAACAAAATGGTCGCAAGCACTCATGGGGCTCACTCGCATTAAGAATTCATGTTTCGATTATTTTTCACATTCGAAGCATCTACATATGTATATATAAGAAAAATTGAAACGCAAATCGATTCTGAACAGAACATATATTTATTGTACAGTCTTAGAATCCAACATACTGTGAATTTCCTCATATGTCTTGCCCTTAGTCTCGGGCACAAAGAAATACACAAACAGCAAGGACAAACATGAAATAGCTACAAAAGACCAAAAGGATATTGCCATGCCCCAGGCTTCCAGTGTCATGGGAAAGCTTTTAGTGCTGAGAAATCCAAAAAAGTGAGCAATGGTCCACACAATGCCAGAGCCAACAACTTCAACATTCTCTCTAAATATATCCCTTATTATGACAAAGGGCAGAACGCCCTGGCCCAAACCAAAGAAGAATGTGAAGCAGCACATGCTGAACAGGGGCAACCACTTCAGGGAATGCAAATAGTCTACTTTGTTATCCCTAAGATTAAAGTACATTGCGTGGAGTGTACAATTGAGTATGACTAAAAACACAGACCAAATCAACAACGGCCGACGACCAGCACACTCGAGCAGGGACAATATGGTAGACAGCAAAAAGGATATACCCACAAAAATAGTGCACAGTTCGACATTCCATTGGAGGCCCATGTCTGCCTCAATGAGAATGAATGTGGCATAGGTAATGATAGCCTTGCTGCCACAAAAATGCTGGAAAAACGTTAGTGGGATGCAAATAAATAATCCCTTGAATGTCGCCTTGTGTCTTAATTTTCGCCAGGTATTTTCATAGTCCTCCCGCAATTTTACCATATCCTGCTCCATGCGATTAATTTCGGAAAAAGCGTTAAAACTGTCCCCGCGCAACCACCGTAGCGATCGTAACGCCTTATTCTTTCTATTCTTGAGCAAATAATACACTGGCGACTCCGGCATCCAGATGAAGGTCAGCAGAAATATTGCTGGCAATATGGCGCAACCGTAATTCAAATAACGATAGTCAAAAAAGGCGCCCATTATATATGCATAAACGATGCCCAGCACAAAGAAAACCATAAAGAAATTGCCAAGGTATCCTTTTACTTCCACTTGGGCAACTTCTGAGCAGTACATGGGTATCGTTATAAAATAGCAACCACCGCAGAATCCTTGCAAGAAGCGCGCTGCCATTAGCATATACAGATCTTTAGCAAATATTAAAAGTGCCCATCCTGCCAAATATGGTGGCACCATCAACAACGTAATTAGCTTGCGGCCCATACAATTGGCCAATGGTCCTGCTGGTATTGCTATTAAGCTGGAGCCCAAACTGGACAGAGCGCAAACCCAGGCGTATTCACTAAGAGTCACTGCAAAGCCATACATTTTTTTATCCGTAACATCGCGCTGTGCCGGCGCTGACCAACCCACCGTGGCACCTGCACTTAGTGCGCCAAGTGATGCAAAAAATGCAGCTATATACTGATTTTGTCCATAGGGTCTGTCCCAGAAACTGGACATAATTTAAGTTAAAATTGAGAACAACAAATACATAACCAGCTTTTCAATTTTAAAATCTATATTCACCAAAAAATAAATCGAGCCTTAACAGTGCTGCCACATTGGTTATAGATTGAACGCAGCCAACTTCACATGAATACTGGCAGCATTGTTTTGATATTGCATTGTTTTCTTTGTGTCGTATTATATTATATTTGTATGTGAGTCATCGTAAATTGAATTTATCATCAAAATTAAACTGTATTGCACTGTCATACGACTAGTATTCCATTACAATCAAAGCTGCAAACATGTCGCTAGTAACTGACGAGGAGTGGGCCCAGTTCAAGGTAATGTTTGTAAACAAAACAGCGCAATAGACAAGTTGACGCCTCTTTTTTATACTAGACTACCCACAAAAAGAATTACGACGGAGATGAAGAGCAAATGCGTCGTTCCCTCTACGAAAAGGCTAAAGCAAAAGTAGAGGAGCATAACAAGAAATTTGAAAGCGGCGAGGTAACATGGAAAATGGGCATTAACAACATGTCGGACTTTACTCCTGATGAGTACGCAAATAGGTGTGGCTCAAGACCATCCAAGTAACTGGATGCATTTAAAAAATCTCATGAATCCAACGTTCAAATGAAAATAAGACATATTTTATAATCATGAACTTATTCTTTTATGTACTTTTTACTTACCTTATACAAAATAAACAGCTGTAAACGGCAACTGTTTTTTACTGTACTGGTCACACTGTAAACGGACAACTGTTGATATTTTGATAAAAATAATGATGATGGATGACATATAGTCGCATTTTGCGTGATAAGAATTATACATTTTACAGGTGGTCTTAATTAGAGTCGCTGAGGATGACGCCTATCATTGCATTCAAAAATTGCTAAAGTATCGATACCTGCAGCTAGACCGATAAAAAGAAGTATGGAGCCCTGGTCCCAAAAGTATTTATCAGTTTTCCTAACTCGGGCCACACTGCAGTCGACATAACTTTTAAAAGTTTGTAAACTTTTTCGTTTTGAACACATAGACACAAACACGTATAGATTTTGCTTTTACTTTTTATTAATTTATGTTGCTTTTTTGGTGCGCGTACAAATTGAACTAAAGTGCATCTTCCATTGCAGACACAGCAGAGCAGCAGCAACCTCAAAAATGTACCGAATTATGCGTGTGCCATCGATTTTGGCCAAAAATGCAGTCACGTCAATGGTAGGTAGCTGTGACCAAAACGCACTACAATTAAATTACACAATCAAGAATGCTGCGCATTTACGTGGACTAACTAACCAAATTCACATAAAGTTTGCATTTGCAACATTGTCGGCGCAGCCACAAAGTGCGAACAAAACGCAGACCTCGCGAATCCGTGGCGGTGTTATGTAATTTTTTAAATTTTGGCCTAGACGAATGACTGCAGTAAAGTATTCCCTGGCATTGCGTAAACCCAAAACACGCACCAATTGGTCTTAATTTCTCTGCAGTTGTCATTAGCCAACCCCAATTTGTGAATGCAGCTAATGCACAGAGGTTATGTGCACGCAGCACCCAACGCCGCCGAACCCCCTCCCCTAGCGTCTAGTTTGGCAACAAATCGGTGTTAAAATTCGGCTCTTTGATAGGCGTTGTCTTGTTTTGTGTTATTTAAGCGCTTTGCCGAGCTGATAAGCCAGCACATTCAATGCCCACATGGGAGAGAGGCGCGGCCACTATTCTACAGCTGATTATACAATGCAAATTATTGATATGAGCTATACTTTATATACAAATTATTGCATAAGCTACTAGAATGTTAATCTGTGTCCAGTTTTAAGCGCCGCTTTAACTATTTAACGCCAGAGGTTTATCAACACTTGTCATGGGAATCTTCCCAGGCTGCCGCCTGTGGCGTGTGCTGCTCTCTTAGTCTGCATAAACAAATATATAAATGTATAATGCATATGAACGTATATATATACATACATGTGTTAATTGGCAGTGTTTTTGCAAAACAAAATAGAAAGTCACCTTATCTCCATTAACACTTTCAGCTTTGATAATGCGGTTATTTCATGAGCAGAAATAGTTGGAAGTTCTATAAGCAGCAATAAATATAAATGTTAAGTGTTGCCCTATGTACATAAAACATATACACTAAAACTGGCTTTTAGTATTTGCCCAGACGGGCTTGCCCTAGCCAGTGATGCGTGATACGCTTGCGTCTGTCTAAATCTGGCTTTAGGATGACTAAAAATTTAAAGACGGGAATTCTGACTTTTGCTGTTAGAAAAGGTATTAGGAATGTACAAGATAAGAATTGAGCAATCAACTAAAATTATATTTTCGTGTATTGCAAAATTGCAATAAAACTGCAATCTGGAGAGTGCTTCATTATTGGTCTAATGTATAATTGGAAGTTTTTACAGGCTTTTCAGTTTAGAATAGTTGGCAACACTGGCCCTATCTTTGTTAAATTCATTTTTCTGGTAGTAAAATAAATTTTCGTGTTTTTCTTACACGAAATTTGTCACGTGCTTATCAGCAGCTTTGGGCATCACTTGTTGGCATTGCTTACCCATTAAATAATACATATTGAAAACAACTTGTGATGCAGCTATATATAAATGCGGTCATTAAATTGACAGCTGCTGTTTGCCAGACAAATTAAAAATTTAAGGGCAGAGGTTATTTATCAAATACCACTCGGGCTAAACAGCTGATCGTAAATTGCGGCTACTATAATCTTTGGGTTTCACAAATCGTGTGACTAATTGCTTCTATCTCGACAACAACAATAAAACACGCTTTATTAAATATAATCAATATGCAATTTGTCAATTGCAGCAGCGTGTGGCATCAGTTGCTGCCGCGTCGCCGCATCAGCGCAGCTATCACATAACGCCCGGTCAGCAGCAGGCGAAATCTGCGAATCCGGATGCCATTTCCAAGCAATATCCGGTTGTAGATCATGCCTACGATGCAATTGTTGTGGGCGCCGGTGGATCTGGACTGCGTGCAGCCTTTGGCCTGGTCGCTGAAGGTTTTCGCACAGCTGTCATCACGAAACTGTTTCCCACACGCTCGCACACGATTGCCGCTCAGGGCGGCATCAACGCGGCGCTAGGCAACATGGAGCAAGATGATTGGAAATGGCACATGTATGATACGATCAAGGGCAGCGATTGGCTGGGCGATCAGGATGCCATACACTATATGACACGCGAGGCCCCCAAGGCTGTCATCGAGCTGGAGAACTATGGCATGCCCTTCTCGCGCACTCAGGACGGCAAGATCTATCAGCGCGCCTTCGGTGGCCAGAGTCTGAAGTTTGGCAAGGGTGGTCAGGCGCACAGATGTTGCGCTGTTGCGGATCGTACGGGTCACTCCCTGCTCCACACACTTTACGGACAGTCGTTGAGCTACGATTGCCATTACTTTGTCGAGTACTTTGCGCTAGACTTGATCTTTGAGGATGGCGAGTGCCGTGGTGTGCTGGCCATCAATCTGGAGGATGGCAGCCTGCATCGTTTCCGTGCCCAGAATACGGTTGTGGCTACAGGCGGCTATGGCCGCGCCTTTTTCTCGTGCACATCGGCGCATACGTGCACCGGTGACGGCACCGCTTTGGTGGCCCGCCAGGGTCTGCCTTCACAGGATCTGGAGTTTGTGCAGTTCCATCCCACGGGCATCTATGGCGCCGGCTGTCTCATAACCGAGGGTTGTCGCGGCGAGGGTGGTTATCTAATCAATTCCAAGGGCGAACGTTTCATGGAGCGCTATGCGCCCGTCGCCAAGGATCTGGCCTCGCGTGATGTTGTCTCCCGATCCATCACCATTGAGGTAATGGAGGGCCGCGGCGTTGGACCAGAAAAGGATCATGTATTCCTGCAGCTGCACCATTTGCCGCCCAAACAGTTGGCCGAAAGGCTGCCTGGCATCTCCGAGACGGCCATGATCTTTGCCGGCGTCGATGTCACACGCGAACCCATCCCCGTGCTGCCCACTGTGCACTACAATATGGGCGGCATTCCAACCAATTATCGTGGCCAGGTGCTGACCATTGATCAAGATGGCAACGATAAGATTGTGCCCGGCCTCTATGCGGCTGGTGAAGCGGCCTGCAGTTCGGTTCATGGTGCCAACCGGTTGGGTGCCAACTCTCTGCTGGATCTTGTAGTCTTTGGACGCGCCTGCGCCAAAACCATTGCCGAGGAGAACAAACCAGGTGCACCGGCGCCCACGGTTAAGGATGTGAGTGACTTACAAATAATATCTTAAATCCGAATTTAAATAACTTTTTCAATCCTTTGTAGAATGCTGGCGAGTTCTCAGTGGCCAATTTAGATAAGCTGCGCCACGCCAATGGTAATATCACCACCGCCGATCTGCGTCTTAAGATGCAGCGATGCATGCAGAATCATGCGGCTGTATTCCGCGATGGACCCATACTGGAAAAGGGCGTGCGCGAAATGAAAGAGATCTACAAGCTATTCAAGGACGTCAAGGTTATCGACAAGTGCGTAACGCCCTTGATACTTTGCGTTAAATTATTATGTATTAATGGTTTTACTAAAACTCAGATCACTTGTGTGGAACTCGGATCTGATTGAAACACTGGAGCTGCAGAATCTTCTGGCCAATGCACAGATGACCATTGTGGGCGCCGAGGCGCGCAAGGAATCACGTGGCGCACACGCACGCGAAGATTTTAAAGTGCGCCTCGATGAATATGTAAGTAACAGAAGAACTAATGATATTGTGTTATTCTTTACCAAGTTAACTTATATTCATGCTTGTTTATGTATATTACAGGACTACAGCAAGCCCCTGGATAACCAGGAGAAGAAGCCCATAGAGCAACATTGGCGTAAGCACACGCTCGCCTGGGTGTGTTCCGACGAAGGCGATATCGATCTTAAATACAGACCTGTTATCGATCACACGCTCGACAATGAGGTGGAAACAGTGCCACCAGCAATTCGCTCCTACTAAAAGATGTCCACTCATATTCACACACACACACACACACACACGAACAGAAAATGTACACAAACACTGGCATGTTTACTTAACAGTGAGCAGGCATACTGTGTTGGTGCAAAAATTCGCGAGTCGCAATTTTTTATAAATTTTATGCTGCTGCTTTCTGCCGTATTTCGCACAGATTTGTTCAAAACCTATGTCAAAATTTGTTAGCATTGTTTTATAATTTGATGTGTTGTATATTGAAAAGCTTATCACTTTTGTACGCTCTACCAGTGCCCACCACAATAACACAAAATAATTTTTATATGTTTCTTTATTTGAAATACTTTTATTTAAAAAAATGTGCAAAATTTAGTCAAAGGAATTGCGACAATGACGACGACGCCTTTTCTGTAAAAATAAATAACGAAAACGTCAGGAATAAAAGTTTTCTAGTATTTGTTAAACTTATTAAATTATTGAAACAAAAATATGTAAAAACAAAAATATATATATATAAACAAAACAATCTGCTAGAAATAACATTTTTGAACACGAAGTTTGCTTATACATTGGCGGGAAAGCAAAAACCAAAATGTATAAAATCTCAGGCTTATTTAGGAAAGATCATATAAATGGACAATAAATTTTCTATATTTTGTACAAGTTGGAAATATTTGCAACTAGCCTGATATTATAAATACAAAAAAAATAATAAAAATAAAAACTTAGTTAAGATTTCTCGATGGGAATTGCATCAATGTCAGCCCTGAAAAACATGCACTTGCTCTGGCTTAAGATTAAGTTCCTTCAAGCTATCCAGCGCAGCTGTGTTGAATCCTGTAGGTCCACACACGGCCACATAGCTGAAAGACTTGGCTTGCTGTTTATTAAACAAAGGCGCTAACAGCTCCTGGCAGATGCGGCCGCATTGGACGGGCTGCTCCGCCTGCGATAAAATGTGTTTGCACGTGAAACGCTCATCGGCGTCCTGTAGGGCCTGCAACTTATCCCGCAGCCATATATCCGAGTTTGTCTTATTGAAGTAAAACAGCTGCAGACGTTCGCTGTGGGTAAAGTAAAAATAAATACAAGGATGATGAATAGTTGAAAAAAAAAAAAAAAAAGTGACTCACAGGCGATTCGCGTGCCGCCTAAGCAGCGGCCGCAATAGACTTAAAATGGGTGTGATGCCGCTGCCTGCGGCCAAGAGCAAGATGTTGCGATGTGGCTCCAGCGCGGACAGCGCAAAACTGCCACGCGGCAAACTCAGTCGAACAGTGGCGCCCGGTTGCAGCTGATGCATACAGCTGGACACTGCACCATTTTCATAATACTTGACAAGAAAGTGCTGCCTGCTGCTTGGACTTGAGTCTGTGTCTATTTGAGCGCTGTTGGAAGGCAGGCAATTGTGGGGCACGGGTGTATAGCTGCGCTCTAGTAACTGACCATTATGCGGCACTTCAATGTCCAGATGATAACCTACTGGCACATGCATGAGCACCTCCTCTTTGACGCTCTGCAGACTCAACTCAAAGGAGTCGTGATTAAAGTGCGCGCAGTGTATCACTTCATATTCATAGTGTTCCTCACATGGTGCATTCAGCTTGCCAACCTTCTGGTTGCCATATGTTGTCCAGGGCTCTGCCTCTTGCTTGCTCAGCACCACTTCAATTTTACCTGTTTCGTGACCAACACGCACAGCCTTTGGAGGCCAAACGATGGCGTCGTTGAACTTAAAATTGAAGACATGCCAACTGCTTGCCAGTTGTACGCACAGCTCCAGGGCATCAGCAGCGGCCTTGCGCTTCAGCAGCATCCCAGGATTAGCCATGCGTCGCGTATAGAAGCAGAGTGTCAATTCGCTACGCTGTTGTATCCAATCAAAGCGCGGTACAAGTTCCGCTGGCGCCGGAGGCGGTCGAATAAGCACCGTTTCCACTTTTGCAGCTACGTTTTCTTTCAGCGGACCCACATAGCATTTTCCGAGCAATTGGGGATAGTTGACCCATGCGTGCACTTCGTCAAAAAGTTTGGTAGCATCGCGTCCTACACCGCGCATCAGCTCATCCACACCGCCCGGATGAAAGTCCATGTATCGTGTCACATTGAATACCTTGCCCCGTATGGCCATCCAGGCGTCATTGATTTGATTGTGCTTGGCTAGCTCGGCACGGCTAACTGGCACAACGCGTCCACCGGTGCCAGAGAGATCAGCGCCCGAATTGCATAAGCGTATCCAGCTCATCAAGGAGTAACCTGGCTTGAGGGCGCATTTGTTCCGCGGATTGCCCGTTGCCGAGCCCGAGCCTGTGTTATTGGAGCCTACAGTCAATTTCTGTTGCGCCGAACTCGGCAGCTGCAAATTGCTGATGG